ATCAACTCTTTACAGTGATGAGATTTTGAAATAAAATTTGGCAGAAATGTAAAGCTGATATAGCTTTATAAAGTTACCAGTTAGATTTTTTTTAAACCTCTTAGATAAAAAGTTATAGCCATTTAAAAAATTAAAACACTTTGTATAACTGTTGAGTATAGGCTACCAGCACCATAGTTAAAAGTTTTTGTTTAATTAGTAGGTTTTTTTCTTTCTAATGATAATTTTTTTTAGATTTTAATATAGATTTAAATTTCTTATAATTAGTATCTGTCTTCTTTTATGTTTGTGTTTTTAATCTTACTCTTTTTTTATTTGTTATTTTTTCTTTTTTTTTCTTCTTTATAAAAAAGTATTATCAGTTTGACAACATTCTATTTTAGGGCAGAAATCTTGACAAGGCAAGCAACAACTAGCTGATAAGTCTGGAAAATAGAAGTTCTTAGTAAATTTTGAACTTCTGAAAGAGGCTAAGTGTTCGCTTCTAAGTATAACATAACAGTTCTTGGTTCGCCAAAACTGCAAGTAAAAGTCTTGGCAATTGTAAAGTAAAACTGGATGAGTTTAACTTTTGGTTAAGATATTAAAACTGTAATGAATACATTGCCTATGTAAAAGTTCAATTTTCTCTAAAATAAAGTAAACAGGATTGCCAAAGGAAAAAAAAAAATAAAGTTTTTTGCAGTATAACGCACCTATAGGGTGGGACAATTGGTTAGCCTATAGTCTAACCAATTGTTCCATCCTATAGATGCGTCATACTAATTATAGTGATTGGATTTTGATTCATAAGAATCAAAAAAAATGTCAAATTATATAAATTTTAGTACAATTCCAAAAAGGAGCTCATATGCTTTTATCAATGGTTTTTTGGTGCTTGCATGTTTGGTAGCATCCCCACAAAAAATTATAACGTGATAGCCAAAACAAGCTTTGTTCTCAAAGTAAAAAAGTTGCGTATAAAATTAAAGAAAACCGCGTTATAATTAGGATTGATTAGAACATTATGCTGCCTACTAACAATAATTATGCCGCAAAGTGGCTATTCTGGTTTTTTTTTTTTTTTTCATTTCTTTTGCGTTACATCTGATGTGAGAGAGCTAGGGAGGATCTTCAACATTCTTATTTTTCTTTAAAATTAATGCCAAATTCGAGCTTAGTTTAATCATAAAATAAATAATTTTTGAGCAAAAATATCCGATAACGATTCCAAATATGCAGCCAATGGCTTAGTTTACATAATTTGAAATTTTTTGGGCGGCGATTTAACTCCGGTTGGACCTAGTCTTGGACCAAACCTAAGTCCTAGGAATTCATATGGGATTGACTTTACCGTCCATAATGTACACGTACTTTTGATTAACAACCTTTATGATTATTATTATTATGATTAACAGTCCACATGATATGATATTAATGCTTTATGCGATCTCATAAATAAATTCTAATCGGTTATACGAATGTTCATTAGGTACAGTATAATACATCTATTTACCCATCAGTTCACATAAACTAGTAAATCAGCATTAAAGTGAATTGTCAAAGGCAGATAGAAAAAATACTTGTGAATTTATGTTACACCACTGGCAAAAGACACGATCATCACGGTTCATCACATGAATTGTTGGGTAAATAGATGTATTCAGGTTCGGGTTCGGTAGATGGAGACTCAGCGTAAGGAGAGTCGACTGCATATGGTTTTGATATGCTAGTTAATGCTTCGTCAACTCCAAAATTTGAATATTCTGATCTTGTAAGCTGATTTTCAAATTGATATAATCTTAAAGCTGTTACTGCTTGTACTTTTTGCAATTCCACGGCAATATCAACTGGTCGCTATAATAATACATAAGTGTTTCCAATTAATATGACAATACATAAATAACATTTTTCAGTAAAAAAAAATTATAAATTGAAAAATTCAACTTACCTTGCCATCTATGTCTTTTAAATTGATGTTGGCATGTCTTTTCATTAGGATCAGCGAAAGTCTTGCATTATTCGTTGCTGCAGCATGATGAAGGCAACTCCATCCATTTTTATCAACCTCATTAATATCACAAGACCATGAAAGTAGGAATTCCACTGCAACGTCATCACTTCGTAGTATAGCCTGATGCAATGCCGTAGTATAATTTTCTTTGTCATTTTTCCAATCAACATTGGCTCCTAGCGACAAACATCGAAGAGCTTCGTGCAGATTAGAATCACTCATTGCTTTCCAAAAAGCCTATAAGAATAATTTATTAGAATTTACATATATATAGTATATATTAATAGTTAACAAATTTATTTAAAGCAAATTAATCAATTCTCACCAAATCAACCGAGTTTGAAAGATCGATTTTTTCATCTTTTTGCACAATAAATTCTTTATTAACATACTTGCCGATTATAAATTTTTCTCTGTCAGCACTAAGAAGATTTGATAAATTAGTTCAACAAAATAAATAAAAAAAGAAAACAAAATATTTCACCAAATATAACCAACCCAAATCGAAACTCCAACAAACCGTTCCCATGATGAATTCATCAATTTTCTCTCGTTATCTCCAACTAATTTTGCTTCAAATATCTGGTTTACCTTAAAGTTTCCAAGCTTCGACATAACCTCAAGTGACTCAGGTTCCCATTTATCAAGCATCAATGATCTAACCTTACTAACATGCACACCAAGACTGCGATGAATACCCGAACATTCTATACATAGCAATGTTCCGAAATTTGTGCTTGCCCATTGTGGATCTGATGATATATTTTAATAAATTACTTGAGCTGTAAAAAATACCTTGATCATATCTAAAGTCGAACTTACCTTTAGATTTGCAGTCTACACAACATTCATTACCGGGCAATTGCTTAATTCGTAAAATAGATTGCTGGATGCTCTGAGAAGAGTCATAATTAACTTGATTATTTGAATAAATATCATTCCTCTGTGTATCTTGAGATATCTAACAAAACGTATAAGTACGTTATAAGTTTAAATACTATAAGAGAATTATCTGCATTAAATTTTTTATATACCAGCTTTCCCATGCCCGAAGAATCAAATTTCGGCATCTGATTCGTGTACAAAGCTTCTTCAGCTGCAGTCTGTAAACAATATATCCAATCTTCCATGTCTTGTTGATTTTCGGCTTGCAATACATAAGTCCTTTTGAGACGTAATTTTATTTAGCATAATTTATTTGTACACAGAAAATACAAATAAAAATTATTTACCTCATTGGAGATATTACTTCAAAACAAAATCTTCTATCAGAATTAGTAACCGGCTTTATATGACAGACCCTTAAATTAATAGATGCTGATTCATCCTCTTCTTTTGATACCTTTAACAACTTCAGTTAGAATAATATCTCAATTAAATAATTAATGAATTGAAATATACATACTTTGCCTGCCTTACTACAATAATTTAACTGTTCCTCTGAAATAGTAAAGTATTTACGCGTCCATGATTGCATTACTCTTTGATTTCCTTTCATAAACAAATAGCCGGATTTTTTTACAATTGTCGCATCTGAACCCTGATGTGCGCGATACTTAGTACCTGCCTTGAAAGAGTGTAACGGATTGTACGTTTCTTGAGCGTTCTAATAGATGAAGGCATATATCGAAAGTTTCATATATTCAGTTTAATTTGTACAATTCAAAAATCATGCATCACGTAAATACCTCCAATAAAGATTTCTTTAATTGTTGAGATTCTTTAATATCATTATTATATTCAGTCCTTGCCTAATTAAAACAAAACTCGCGTTGGATAACATCTTTATTATTAGGTATTACAATGGAATCAATATTATATAATTTACCTCATGTAATAACTCTGTTAAATTTCAACATTAATAATTATATCACAAAGTTAGCATTATAAAAATTATATATAAATTATTTACTTGTTACATCTTTCATGTGTGGTTCAAGATCCTTTAAGGTTTCATAGCTCTGATGATAAAATGAAGACTCTGTGAACATCAAGGCCAAAATCTATCATAAAAGCGTAATATTAGTATTCTAATTATTATTATGAATCTTATACAATAATTTAAATAGTTTTACATATTCCATGAACTCGAATTTCTTCTTCGCCTCCAATTGATTAATTTTTATAACATAATCCAAATAGCGATAATGAAATTCCCTTCGTGTATCCGATACTTCGGAAGACGCCTAAAATATTATCATTATTATTAATCACTTCAAATACAAAAACTAAAAAAAAAAAAAAGATCTATTACGTCGGCAATCATCGAATCTTTCGGTCTTTTGCTCATGTATCTAGAAAGTGCAAAGTCTGCTTCACTACCAGCTTTTTCAAATCCCTTTTTTACATCCTATAAGATCACAAAATAATAAATAAATAAATAAATAATAAATAAACAAATAGATATATATACATAGCTTGATGGACGATAAAGTATAATGTAAATTATCCGCACCTTCAAAGGTAATATCTCGTTCTTTGCAAAAGCTTCTAATGGCTCAATGAACATATCGTGCATATGTGAATTCTGTAAGAATAATAACAATAATAATAGTAATTAGATTCTGTAAGATCAAAAATATAACATTTATACGTTGGAACTTAAAAATATTAACTCTTACAAGAATTCGACGACTTCTTTCAACCTCTTGAAGTGATGAAGAATATTTGATCAAAACTGATTCTGTGCATATAATTTTCAAATTGTTATCCTTCAGTTTAACAATGTCGTTTGCATAGTAAAGCACATAGTAAAGTATAAGAGATATCTACTAATTATTGAATCAGGTTGTTGTTTTGCGAAAGTACCAAGCTCTTCAGCGAATTGTAATTGTTTCGCTGTATATTCTGGTAAAAATTTAAATAAATTGTTCAATCGCCAACAAAGTGATAATTTATTCAAGCAGTACGATAATATAGTATCAAAAATAATTAAATACCTTGTGCAAGTTCTGCACTTGCTCTTGCTAATTTTACAAGGTTTTTTATGGTATTTTCTAGTCCGAATACTGAAGATTCACATTCTGCCAACTCCTTTCGAAAATATGGTGGATCTTCTTGACACAAATGTAGGTTGAGAGGAGTTGTCATTTTTTTTTTTTTTTTTTTTTTAAAAAAAAAAAAAAAAAAAAAAAATTAATGTTAAGGGTTTGTCAAAAATTTAGTGAAAGCGATAGTATTTTTGATATATTTTGCGATTA